AATGTCTGTAAGTTACTAATATCTGTATTACTAATATACTTAGTTACTAATGTCTGTAAGTTACAATGTCTGTAGTTACAATGTCTGTAGTTACAATGTTGTAGTTACAACGTCTGTAGTTACAACGTCTGTAGTTACAACGTCTGTAGTTACAATGTCTGTAGTTACAATGTCTGTAGTTACAACGTATGTAGTTACAACGTATGTAGTTACAATATCTGTAGTTACAGCGTATGTAGTTACAATGTCTGTAGTTACAATATCTGTAGTTACAATATCTGTAGTTACAATGTCTGTAGTTACAACGTATGTAGTTACAATATCTGTAGTTACAGCGTATGTAGTTACAATGTCTGTAGTTACAATATCTGTAGTTACAATATCTGTAGTTACAATGTCTGTAGTTACAATGTCTGTAGTTACAACGTCTGTAGTTACAATATCTGTAGTTACAATGTCTGTAGTTACAACGTCTGTAGTTACAACGTCTGTAGTTACAATATCACAATCTATTCTTTCCACTTAGTAACTGATAAAAAAAAAAGAGCTTCAAGCACGTAAACCTTTTGAGTCGATTTTGTCGTATTATTATTATTATTATACTTTTCTGTTAAATCAACATAGAGGTCTTATTTTGAACATTTGCATCTCACCACAATAGGTTTTGCTCTTTTTTTACACATCTTTCAGATATGAACTGTTAGATTTGTCAAGTTATTGTGGATACAAATTAACAAGATTAGTTAAATATCAGAAGGGGAGGGTACAAACTTCCACCTCAATATCCCAAAAAGGACCTCTTTCGTTTTATTTTCCTTTTAATAAAACTAAACTCTAGTATGTCACAGGTTTTAGTAGAAGATTACTGTGGTAAATTTGATGTTGTTTCACAGGTTGTAGTAGTGAAACAACATCAAATTTACCACAGTAATCTTATACTAAAACCTGTGAAACAACATCAAATTTACCACAGTAATCTTATACTAAAACCTGTGAAACAACATCAAATTTACCACAGTAATCTTATACTAAAACCTGTGAAACAACATCAAATTTACCACAGTAATCTTCTACTAAAACCTGTGTAACAACATCAAATTTACCACAGTAATCTTCAGGTTTTAGTATAAGATTACTGTGGTAAATTTGATATTGTTTCACAGGTTGTAGTAGAAGATTACTGTGGTAAATTTGATGTTGTTTCACAGGTTTTAGTAGAAGATTACTGTGGTAAATTTGATATTGAAACTCATCCCCAAAATATTAAAAATCAGATTCAGATCCAGTGAATGGCCTGGCCACAACTGTCGTGAATTATTCCGTTATCGTTTTAGAAGAACATTTGTTTATCAGAGTAGGATTGCAGCATTGTAGGCAGGACATGATTAGAAACAGATCATACTTTTTAGTAAATTAAAAACTCCCTCTAGTGTTTTGTACTGTTGGAATGATCAAGCAGGACGAAGAGTCTTGTCGTTTTACTCCTTATGTTTATTTCACCACCGGTTTCGAAAATATGGCCAATATAACTCATTAGGCCACATAGCACACTTCCAGTCATTAATTATCTACAGTTTGCACTGGAAGCACTCATTAAAGCTGTGCTTTGACGTTTGTTTGTTGAGATGGCTGCCATGTTAGAAGGCCTAGTATGGCCTGATAGTTGTGGCATTTAACTCATAACCTGAGGTTTACAGGTTAGAATCCCCATCACTGAACGTGCTTACCCTTTCAGCCTTGTGGGCATTATAATATGTTGGTCAATCCCACTATTCGTTGGTTAAAAAAGTAGCCCAAGAGTTGAAAGTGGGTGGTATTGACTAGCTGCTTTCCCTCTAGTCTTTCACTGCTAAATTAGCGATGGCTAACGCAGATAGCCCTTGTGTAACTTTGCATAGAATTCAAACCAAGCCATATGAAATTTTTGGTAATGTCTTTACCATTATTCAGTTGAGGATAGTGGACTTCTAAGTACTTTTGAAATAATATAATCAATTGAAACACAGTCTGATATCTGTTGCTTTTTAGTAGCTTATCCAATCTATCAAGGTCAGCATAAGTGAGAGGTTAACAACCACATTTTTTTCCAAATAGTCAAGGCGTTCTCTTTCATTTGCTGCCGTTCATAAACTTAGATGTTTCTGAACATTCGATCAAACTAATAATGATGTTCTCATTAGAGTGGGGGACAAGCATCATGCCCCTTTGAGAGTCAGAGGTTATTTGTTGCACCCATGTTCATCAGAGTGATGGTGCAGTATTCACCTGTCTTATCGTGTACTTGGTATATACATCAAGTATTTTCCATATACAGATGTGTGTGTGGTATTCTAACAAGACATCTTTAGAAATTATAACGATCACATAAATATTTTTTTCTTAAAAAAGATTGTGTTAAGTTAAAAAAAATTAACATGTAGAATTATGTAAAAATGTGGACATGTTGATTGTTTTTTTTTAATTTTCCAGCAACCACTTATATTTTGACATTTGTATACTTTACTACAGTTTATCATGTGTTTTTACTTCTACTCAGGTATGGGGACCATATGTAACATGGGGGCAGAAATTGGAGCCACCACGTCCATATTTCCATACAATCCAAGGATGAACGACTATTTAGTGGCTACTGGGAGGAAAGGTGGGTTTTCTGAAAATTAGTTAAATTATGATCGTAAGACTACGATTATTGAAGCTTTCAACTATTAATCCTACAGCATGATTAATAAACATGGCTTTATTGATAATTAGACTTCAGTAGGTGATTGTATAGTCTACTAACAGTGACAATGGCTACTGTATACTTTAATGACGATTTGAAAATTGTAGCTTAAGACTTACAAAAAAGTTCTTCACATTGGGACAAACATTTTATTATTCTGTTGTTTTTAAATTCATCGTGCTATTTATGAATCTTTTAAAGCTGTCATTTGAGGTTTGTATCTTGATACCAGTGGTTATTTCTCATGATTCAGCTAATATTTTTACTGTTGGTATTTGAAATTGGAAAGAACTTTTGTCAATGGGAAAAGTCAGATATATTTTTGTGACTTTCTTTATGTTCATTTATCAAATATTGCACATTTCAGCTTTGAATAAAATCAGATATTTTTTGTGACTTTCTTTATGTTTATTTTTCAAATATTGCACATTTCAACTTTGAAACAAATCATATTTTTTTGTGACTTTCTTTATGTTCATTTATCAAATATTGCACATTTCAACTTTGAAACAAATCAGATATTTTTGTGACTTTATGTTCATTTCTCAAATATTGCACATTTCAGTTTTGAAAAAGTCAGATATTCAAATATTTTGTCTAGCTTTTTTGTGTTCATTTCTCAAATATTATACATTTCAGTTTTGAATAATGAAAATTTATAACTTCAACATGGATTCTCTTAAGTATTACACATCATCAGGAAAATATTTTATATCTGCTATAAGCATCTCAGATGTGCTGTTGTAAACATTTAGACAATACATTATTGTGTTTTGAAAAGTTCAATAATACTGTTAACAGTTTTAAATAGACTTCCTTTTTATCTATGTTCGTTAGGAATTGCAGAATTAGCAAACCAGTTTATTCCTCTGTTGACCCCTGATAAAGGATGCGAATATGACCAAGTCATAGAGATAAACCTGAGTGAGGTAAGATAGCAGTAGGAGGTTGTGTAAGGTGGAAGATTGATAGAGATAAACCTGAGTGAGGTAAGATAGCAGTAGGAGGTTGTGTAAGGTGGAAGATTGATAGAGATAAACCTGAGTGAGGTAAGATAGCAGTAGGAGGTTGTGTAAGGTGGAAGATTGATAGAGATAAACCTGAGTGAGGTAAGATAGCAGTAGAAGGTTATGTAAGATGGAAGATTGATAGAGATAAACCTGAGTGAGGTAAGATAGCAGTAGGAGGTTGTGTAAGATGGAAGATTGTGTTTTTTTAAACATGAATGAAGAACCTATGTAACCAAACATCATGTTTAGTATTAAGTTGGCTATTTATTTAACTTTCATCGAGTAAATTATGTTGTTAAGCTAATGATATGAAAGACGAGGGTTTTTTAATTAGAAATAGGAATGATTATTGTGTTTTAATCATCAAAGAAGTATGATATAATTATGTTTTGATACATGTACAGCATACGTGCATGAATGAATGAAATGTAAGCTTTTGTTTTTGTAGTTAGAACCTCATGTAAATGGACCTTTTACCCCTGACCTTGCCCACCCTATATCGAAACTTGGAAAGCAAGCTAAAGAAAATGGGTGGCCTCTGGAGATTAAAGTTGGTAAGTTTAATTTATGATATTTTATTAAATAAAAATGTAATGTCACAATATCAAAGCTATTTAAAGAATCCTGCTTTAACTAGAATATTATTTATGGTGGTTTGAAAGCAAACTGTTTTTTTTTCAATACCTTATTGAGCTTATTGGTGAATTTCATGTTCATTGTATTCTTTCATCTTTTGTTTCATGTTCATTGTATTCTTTCATCTTTTGTGTCATACTCATTGTATTCTTTCATCTTTTGTGTCATGTTCATTGTATTCTTTCATCTTTTGTGTCATGTTCATTGTATTCTTTCATCTTCTGTGTCATGTTCATTGTATTCCTTCATCTTTTGTGTCATGTTCATTGTATTCCTTCATCTTTTGTGTCATGTTCATTGTATTCCTTCATCTTTTGTGTCATGTTCATTATATTCCTTCATCTTTTGTGTCATGTTCATTGTATTCCTTCATCTTTTGTGTCATGTTCATTGTATTCCTTCATCTTTTGTGTCATGTTCATTGTATTCCTTCATCTTTTGTGTCATGTTCATTGTATTCCTTCATCTTCTGTGTTATGTTTATTGTATTCTTTCATCTTCTGTGTCATAGTTTATTAGATTTATCTACTTAGATAAGTGTAGGTAGTTTACTACATAGTCTATTAGATTTATCTACTAAGATAAGTGTACGTAGTTTACTACATAGTTTATTAGATTTATCTACTTAGGTAAGTGTAGGTAGTTTACTACATAGTCTATTAGATTTATCTACTAAGATAAGTGTACGTAGTTTACTACATAGTTTATTAGATTTATCTACTTAGGTAAGTGTAGGTAGTTTACTACATAGTCTATTAGATTTATCTACTTAGATAAGTGTAGGTAGTTTACTACATAGTTTATTAGATTTATCTACTTAGATAAGTGTAGGTAGTTTACTACATAGTCTATTAGATTTATCTACTTAGATAAGTGTAGGTAGTTTACTACATAGTCTATTAGATTTATTTATTTAGATAAGTGTAGGTAGTTTACTACATAGTTTATTAGATTTATCTACTTGGATAAGTGTAGGTAGTTTACTACATTTATTAGATTTATCTACTCTGATAAGTGTAGGTAGTTTACTACATAGTTTAGATTTATCTACTTAGATAAGTGTAGGTAGTTTACTACATAGTTTATTAGATTTATCTACTCAGATAAGTGTAGGTAGTTTACTACATAGTTTATTAGATTTATCTACTTAGATAAGTGTAGGTAGTTTACCACATAGTCTATTAGATTTATCTACTCAGATAAGTGTAGGTAGTTTACTACATAGTTTATTAGATTTATCTACTTAGATAAGTATACGTAGTTTACTATATTGTCTATTAGATTTATCTACTCAGATAAGTATACGTAGTTTACTACATAGTTTATTAGATTTATCTACTTAGATAAGTGTAGGTAGTTTACTACATAGTTTATTAGATTTATCTACTCAGATAAGTGTAGGTAGTTTACTACATAGTTTATTAGATTTATCTACTTG